TCCTCCTCACTGCCTCCCTTGAGGTACTTACAGACGCTGCTCAGGTCCCCTCTCAGCCTTCTCTTCTCCAGGCTGAACAGGCCCAGCTCCCTCAGCCTCTCCTCATAGGGCAGATGTTCCAGGCCCCTGATCATCCTTGTAGCCCGTCGCTGGACTCTCTCCAGCAGCTCCACATCCCTCTTGTACTGTGGGGCCCAGAACTGGACACAATACTCCAGATGTGGCCTCACCAGGGCTGAGTAGAGGGGCAGGATCACCTCCCTCGACCTGCTGGAGATGCTCTTCTTAATGCACCCCAGGATCCCATTGGCCTTCTTGGCCACGAGGGCACACTGCTGCCTCATGGTCAACTTGTCATCCACCAAGACACCCAGGTCTTTCTCCGCAGAGCTGCTCTCCAGAAGGTCGGTCCCCAGCCTGTTCTGGTGTCTGGGGTTATTCCTCCCCAGGTGCAGGACCTTGCACTTGGCCTTGTTGAACCTCATGAGGTTTCTCACTGCTCAGTTGCCCAGTCTGTCCAGGTCCCTCTGGATGGCAGTGCTGCCCTCCAAGGTATCAGCTACTTCTCCCAGGTTGGGATCAATGCCAGTCTGTGCATTGATTAGACCCCTGTGGTGCAGAAAGCCCCTCTGGGGTGCAGTGTGCGGAGAGGTCTTGTGAAGCCAAGCAGTATATTGGATGTTAGGCAAAGCTAATTAGTCCCCTGTGAGCATTTGCATTAAAAAAAAATTCCAAAACTCAAAACCAAAAATCCCTCTGCTTGATACAAAGGGAATTAAGGCTGCATGGGACTGGACCCTGCACAAAAAGGATGGCTGAGCAGGCTGCTAATATCTAGCCTTTTTCCTACCATGCTTCAAGCACTCTGCCCTTTGGGGTCCTCTTGCGTATTAGCTCATCTCTTCTTTGACTTCCATGGCTTGAGGGTCTCCCAGGAAACTCATTCACCTTTGAAGCTTTTGCTTATTTTGCTAAGTCTGAGTTTAGTTGAAAATTTTGGAGGCTGCAATGGATTGTGAACTCTGCCATTACCTATTGCGGTGGGATGTCTCAGTTTGCTCTACCAGGGTCACTTAAGGATGTAGCTAAATAAACTTGTGTTATTGATCTGCCCCGTTCAGGTTCGTTGTACAGCATCTAATGCATCTAATGCTTCAGTTCAGAGGAGACTTGATTAAAGGAAGATTATTGGCTTAATGTGCTACATACAACCATGTACAGACCTCGCTCCTGAGAATAGTGAAGCGCTGGAATAGGTGACCTACGAGGTTGTTAAATACTTGCTTTTAATTGATGCCCTCTAAAGCTCCTCAAACAACAGTTCAAAATGATTTGGTCACAGCTGATTCAGCCTTGAGACAAGGAAGAGGCAGATTATACACTCTGTAAAAAATCAATCTTTTTATTGGCTTGGTATGTTGATTCTTAAGCTTCACACTGTCTCTTTGGTTGTATTTGGTGCTTGGAAGAAGCGAGACTGAGGTGCCCTTCCTGCCTGTCTCCTAATGTTTAAGGTACAGAATAGACATGCTTAAATTCACCTCTTTTTGTTGGCTGAAGTCCTTAAGCAAACATGTGAGTCTTCTGTCACTTGGTATCTGTGCCCTTGCTAGGGGACAATATCTCAAGCTCTGCTCTTTTCAATGAAACCTGCTTTGTTTTACACTACTGTTGCTTGCAGCCAGCAGGATATGGGACAGGATATGCTGTTTTATTATTCTGTGAACCATCTGCACAGCGTAAAGGAGTATGTCCTACTTACAGGAGGGCCTTGGACGGTGAGCATGTGGTAGGAAAGCACTCCGAGGGCCGAGAGAGGGGAAAGCATTCTTGGAAAGGGTTTATTGCTTTTTATTTTTCGTGTTTAGAAACACATGTAAATGAAGGCTGGCTCGAGCTGCAGTGAGGAGAGCAATTTGGCTAAGTTTATAAAGGAGGCATTTGCAGCATTGGGGAAGCTTCGATTTTCTTTGGTGTAATTTGAGGTTTGGCACAGTGTTGAATGGAGACATAGCTCAGACGGCTTCCTCAAGGAGAGGAATTCTGCAAGATAACGTGAATTGTCTTTAGCCTGTTGTTTTCATGACCCTTCTCTAAAATTGAGGAAGGGTGCTCAGGATGGCTTGACATTACCCTGGGCTTTTGTTGGACCATAGAAACTTTGCATTTGCTTCAGTGTCAAGCTCTATAGCCCCAGGACTTCCTAGCACTCTCATATATTTCATATTTCACTTTGTGGAGAGGAAATTTGCACCTAATTCCCTACGTGCACAAGAGGTTGAATGCAAAAGAGTTTCTCCTTGGGGGTGAACCTGTGCTGTCAATGTTGCCTGTGATTGTAACCACAATCAGTGCACAGGAGTCTGGGGTCAAAAATTGGTGCTTTAGCAAACATTTTGCAAGAAGGAAATGTACATGTGGACCCCCACATGCAATGTTTTGGGCTGTGTTTTGAAACTAACCCCCACTTTTCAGGCAATTGGACAGTGATGACTGGGTTGTGGGTTTTTTTGCTAAAAACAGTGGCATTCAGGAATTGCAGGCTTTGACCATTGCATATGTTCTGCAGTAATGTATAGGATATGTACGTAGTGTCGCAGCAGACTGATGCCCTGCCAGCTATATGATTTGGAAATAGGCAGGAATCAATCACAGCAGCCTGGAAGGCATCACGGAGTGCTAAATATTTCTACCTTGTGAATATGTTCTTTTTGTTTTGGAGGACCGTCTTTTGCTTTTTACACAAAACCTCACTGCTCTCACAGTGTTGTGGCATCTGTCTCATGAATCCTTTTGGGATTCCCAGGGCTCACAGTGCAAAAGAGAAAAAAAGGAGCAGCGAGGTGGATTCCCCCTCTCCGAGGGCAATGTTGAAGGTGACGTGGGCACCACGACAGCTCCTTCACTAGAGGTCAGTATTACATACTGCAAAGTGGAATTTTAATAGCACAGTACCAGAACAGATCCCTTTCAGACTTCAGAAGTGTTCATGCTAGTAAAAATGTTCAGGTTAGGGTTGGAGTGTAATTTGCTCAAGCTCGGGAGACATCTAGTCAAGGCAGTTTAATAGACAGCATGGCTTGAAGTGACTGCCTACAAACTCCAGCCTGTAGGATCTCTCAAGGGAGATGCTGCCTACTTTCCTTCTGTGTACATTTTGACTGGGGTGGTAGGAAAGAGGGATAAGGAGTCTGGATAAAAATAGGAACTTTGTACATATCCCAGCTCTCCTGGTAGGTTTTGGGGTGTAGGTGAGGATAAGAGCAGAAAGCCAAGGAAGCAGAGGCCCTGGAATGAAGTGAATGCAGCTTGGGAACAAAGCAGCTGGTGCCTTGCTGGAGAGAGGTGATAGAGTAGTTAGAATAATTCCTGCTCAAAAGCTGACTTCAAAATCGGAGCTTTCAACCGAGGACAGGACAGTTGCTTTATTCTGCTTCTGATCCGTCATTTGTGTCTTCACAAGAGAGACAGAAGCTTCCACCTAGAGCAAGGAGTATGAAATGAAAGATAAGGAGGCTGAGTTATGCAAAAGGAAGCGAGTTTCAGCCGTGCTGACTGTCTTTATGCAAGTAGGGATCCTCGTAGCCACCGTGGTTCAGTGCTATGTAGCCACCTAGAACAGCTGCCAGCTTGGTCACTTATCTCCTGGGAGGTGATTGTTATTTTTATTATTTTATTGCTCAGGAAAAGCTGACCATGAGAGGCAAGCAAATAAAGCTGTGGCAGGGTGCTCGCTGTATTTGGGTTCACTCATGCGACAGAGAAAACCGACGAATATCTACATCTGCGAGAATGCAGGACAGAAGTAGCCTTTCTGTGAGGCCCAGGTCCCTCAGGAAGAGGCATTGAGGTGTCTCGGGAGCTACTGTCACCTGCCACTTTCTTGCTTTGGAGGATCAGAACGCTGCACGTGAGGGGGGCTGGGTTACACTGTCCCAGAGCACCTGGAGCAGTGCACTGCTTTCTCAGCCGGCTGCCTGATTAGCAAGTGTAACTCTGACACGTGCAAAAGAAGCTTAATACGGCAAGCATGGCCTGGGTGTCAGGCTGGAGGGGATGGATTCCCAGTTCCCAGTCTGGATTCTGACAGCGATGGGTAAGTCAGCTCAGGGCTCTGTCCTGGTAAAGTAGAGATAATGGCCTTCAGCTTGGGTAGAAAGTGCAGTGCATTGTAAAGAAAAAAAAATATGCAGAAAACTTATTAACTGAAAATCTAGAAGGCCTCTTACTTAGTTCACCAGGCACCTAAACCCAGCAAAGAAAAGCGGAAAGGATGTTTGCTTTGTTTAGTGCCCGTTGCTGCAGTGGGAGCCTGTCTGATAACTGTTGCCATCTTTGCCAACAGAAATTGTCCTACTGTGCTGTTAGCCACATAATGTTGCCTTTCTGGGCAGGTGCCATCTGAAAAACAGGCTAGTAAACGACAGGCAGTGCAGCAAGGGGCCCCGCAAATGGAGTCCATAGCGAGCGAAGGTTACGTTTATTCTGCATGATATTTGGCCCGTCGCATGAAGGGGGCAGTCTGCTTGTAGCCAAACTCTCCACTGTTCGGTGACGACATCTGCTGAAATAGTTTGAGTGTTGGCTGGCAATGTCTGCACTTCGTCAAAGAGAACATTTAAGGAAGTTGGGTTGCGGAAGTGCTGGGACCGTGCGCTTCACCAGTGCAGCCCTGAGGAGCAGGTCCCTCCTGGAGAGGCGGCGTGCGCGGCTGCGCAGCCCATCGCACGCTTTCCTCTCGGTGACCTTGCGCTGAGCTTCTGTTGCTCGCTTGGAGAGAGGTTGATTTACAATGCAGATTCGTCCGTCCTCGCCTGCCTGTCCCTGCCCCTCCTAAATTTGGCTGGGACATGAGCGTGTCTGCTTGCTGATGCCAACAGTGGCAATGGCAGAGTGCCCTGCCATGTGAGAGGCAGAGATAGAGAAGAGGGGGCCAAGGAGGAGCGAAGCGTGCGACTGCCGTTGCTGCTGGTAGCCGAAGAGCGCGTCTGCAGAGCACCATGTCGATGCTCACCCCGATCCTTCAGCCCCCGGAGGTGAAGGAGTATCTGTCCAAGGGTGAGCGCTTCATCAAATGGGATGATGTGAGTACCGGGATTTTTGCTGGTTGTTACGTAAAAACGTTAAAATCAAGGGAGGGTGTGTGTAATTTCTGTACCTCTCTTTACTGGGGCCGTTAGAAGTAAATGCACAAAGGTGCAACTGGGTCTCAGCTCAGTTTGCAGTTCTTCTGAAGACAGACCCCGGGGCCCTGTGTCTGCAAGCCAGCCCTGAGGACAGCAGGGCAGTGCTGGGAGTCACATCTCTCCCTGCGAGGGAAGCACCCGCTCCCCTGAGACATGTCCGCTGGCAGGGTGGGAGGTGAGATTGACTCTCCGGGGAGATTCTCCATGAATCCTCCATGTCTGGGGAGAAAATCGGGCTCCCAAGTCGCTTCCTCTTGCGGCCCTGTTGCTGGAGTGAGCCATGTCCTCCTGCTCTTGCCTGGCTTGTGAGCTGCCAATGCACAGCGGCCACTCAGAGAGGGGCCTGTGTTCTACCAACTCTGGTGGGCTGTCGTGCCTCTCCTCCATTTTGCACCATGCACTAGGGCTTGATTTGGGCTGAGTGCTGTAAAATCTCTCTATTCAGATCAGTTCTCGTAGCTTCAAAACACCCATTTTGCCTGTCGTTGTGAGGGGAAGAAAGCGCGGAACAGAAGAGAGAGAATTAATTTGGGAACTCACCATTTCAGTCTAGTAAACCCCCCTCCTCACTTTCTAAGAAGGCAAAAGAGGATTTCTGGCAGTGCGCGCTCACCTGGGCGAGGGAGCCTGCCCGTCTCATCGCGAGTCTGATCCGTATGCGCCGCTGAGGAGCGTGAAGCTCAGTAAAGCAGAGGGCAGCTCAGGCTGTGATCGCTCACCGAGATCTGGGTTTGATGTGGTCTTGCAAATGAGACTCATTAGAGGGATCCTCCAGCAGCAACGTGTGTTGGGGGGGAGTTAGTATTGAGGTTACTTTCATGACTGTGGAGCTGGTATGGGATTTTAAGACCCAAAGCAGCGCGTGCAGAGGAGGGAGGTCACTTGTGCAAGGCATAAACAGGAATTGCTCAGCAGTACTGAGAAGTGAGAAGGTTATAGAAGCTACTGCTAACAGAAAGGAGGAATGCTGATGAGTACAGGCTGCAATATCACCATGCAGAAATTCCACTTGTCCTAGAAGAACAGGAAGATGAAGCCAGGGTTCATGGAAAAGTGCACCCCTTCAGGTTGCTGCTGGCTCTCTATGAGCTTCAGGCTTGGGGGACCACTTTCCTGAAACCTTAAAGCTTGTTTCTTTAACTACTTCATCTGGAGCTACTGGGAATTTCCCTTGAAACTCAAGTGAATCAAGTTGAACTTTCTAGACCCACAGAGTGTTTACTTGATGTTGAAATTGTGGGAATTAGGAAGCTCATATCCTGGGTGGATTTTTGCCTAACGCTCACAGATTTGTAACTGTTCCTGAAAAGGCTGCTCCTAATTATCAAGTTGTTTACCAGCTTGACCTCCCACAATAACACAAACCTTCAGGAGTGGGAGGTTATGATCACATTGCTCCATCTCCACGGACTTTCCTGCTTCACGCTTACGACAGAAGGAAATGGCAAGAGCTGCAGGCAGCAAGATCCCTAGCAGAGGGGGAGAGTAAAAGCAGCTCTTTGGAGGTCATGGAGCCTGGGAACCTCACTTTAAGTGACATGGTCATGCCACTGATAATGGTTTTGGACTCTTTCCACAAGTGGTTCAGGCAAAGGAATGAAGGTAGATCAGCCTGGCTCTTTAAGTCACTCTCTTGGAGCCGGACTGAAGCTTTTGCTGCACGCAACAGGTTTTCAAGCAAAAATGAACATTTTATTTTCAGTGCCTACACCTGGTGCAGTATATGTAGTATTTTCTCTAGAGGAGAGTGCAGTAGGATCCCTTATAGCCTGGACTGCTCTGACCTGTTCCACTGCGTTAGTTGGTGACACTTTGGAGCATGAACCAACTCTTTGCCATGTCTTGTTTTGCATCCATTAGCAGCTGGGGCTGCCATCCTGCCTTGAAGTTAGGTCCTAGTATACAGCAAATAGTTTAGTTCAAGAACTAGCTTGGGAACCCTTCCAAAACCTCAGGTAGTGAAATGTAGTAGCTGACCTCTTAAGTGAAGCACACATGAATTTGGCTCCATGCTGACTGTTAGCCTCTAAACAGAAGTGGAGATGTTTTCAGTCCTTTGAAGATTATGCAGTGGCCTGGCACATGATGCCAAGCCATGCGACTGGGTTTCATGCATGTTTTCTGCCCTGAAATTGAACTCTACAGTGTGAGCAGAGGACTATTAGGCTGCCAGACTGGCCTGGGTAGAACTTGCCATCTCCTTTGCTGCCAGGAGTTACTGGTGTTGTGAGAGCCTGCCTATACCCCGCAGTTAGCTGCTTCCCTGGTCAAGGGACATTATTGCTGCCTCTACTTAAAAAAAAATGCTGCTTGGTGGGAGATAAGGTTATCTAGAAGCATAGCACAACGCTCACTGCTGGTACAGTGCCTGTTTTGCTCCTCGTGGCTCGGGGCCATGTGTTCAGGGAGGCAGCTGGGAGCTCGGAGGACACAGGCCTGACACTGCACACACCAGCATTGCCCCTAGGACAGCAGGAGGCAAAGAGCAGGAAGAGGAAAGAGAACATTGGGCACACTGTGGCCTGGAGGGCTCGCTGTAGTGGTCCCTGCCCATGAAGAATATTGCATATGGAAATAGAAGTTTTGGGGAATATAGTTAGAATCATAGAATCACAGAATGCTTAAGGTTGGAAGGGACCTCTAGAGGTCATCTAGTCCAAGCCCCTGCACACGCAGGGTCACCTAGAGCACGTGGCACAGGACTGCGTCCAAGCAGGTTTTGAAGATCACCAGAGAAGGAGACTCCACAGCCTGTCTGGGCAGCCTGTTCCAGGGCTCTGGCACCCTCACAGGAAAGAAGGAGGTACTTACAGACACTGATTAGATCCCCTCTCAGCCTTGTCTTCTCCAGCTTAACAGGCCCAGCTCCCTCAGCCTCTCCTCATAGGGCAGATGTTCCAGGCCCCTGATCATCCTCGTAGCCCTGCGCTGGACTCTCTCCAGCAGCTCCACATCCCTCTTGTATACTGCGGGGCCCAAAACTGGACACAATACTCCAGATGTGGCCTCACCAGGGCTGAGCCGAGGGAAACTGAGTAGTTACACTCTTGGGAATATAGTTACACCTCAGGGCTTTCAGGTCAGTGCTTTGATATTTCATCCTGCCATAAACTCGAAGCCCTCCTAGAAATGGCCAAGAGGCCCTTAGGAGCGTTTGTTCAGTGGTGGCAGATGTTAAGTGTTCTCAGGAGTCATCTTGATTAAATGAGGTTGGGCCCATGCTGAGGCGCTGAGCACTCCCTATGTTTGTCTCCAAAGAGCTAATGCTAAGTCACATCTTAGCACAGGCTTGTGTGTGAAATGAGAGTGGATGTTGTCCTGCAAATACAGGGGAAATTGCCTTCAGCTGGAAATTGCAGAAGCAGCCCTGGTTATTCCCAGGTGAGGGTCACAAGCTCACAGCAACAACACGTGCTTCCTTTGCATGGCCTTGCTTCTGATGCGGAGGGACCCCTGTGGGTTCCATGGGACTGTGAGTTATTCCATCCAGCTTTGTGCCTACAGTGTGGGGGTTTAAATAGGAGCTGGTTGCATGGGTTCCTTTTGTAGTGCAGGGAGAGTTCAAGAATCATCTCCTTGGCAAGATTATCTGTTTTATCGGGCTGACCCCCTTTGAACTGGGAACCTTACATCTCAAGTAAGGAACCTTACATCCTCCAAGTCACATAAGCTATTAACCTTCTTTCTGTCTCATTTTATTTATTTTTCACATTAGGAAACAGCAAGTGCTTCTCCTGTGATTCTTCGGGTAGATCCGAAGGGCTTCTACTTATACTGGACTTACCAGAATAAGGTAAGTGCCCAGATTTCACTGCTTGGTTTCTGAATTGTCGTTTCACGTTTGTTAAGAATTAAAACACCAGACAGCCTTGAATACTGCATTTGGGAGAGTAAACTGCTACTCTCATTCCATTTAGCAGGAAACCTCCCCACAAACATCTCGGAGACAAGTGCTTATTCAATGGCAGGGCGGTCTTTGGATTTCCAGCAAAGAGCAGGAGATCAAGCTACAAACATACAGATGAGCACAGTCTTTTTGTGCTTGTAATGCAGGCAGCCTTGTATCTGTGAAGTTCATCAGATGTGCTTCAAAGGACTCGATGGGGAGGACTAGCACCAATTTCACTGTCACTCAGCGAGCTAAAGGATTGTCGTAAATTGTGTCCTGAAGTGTGTAGTGGTGAAGTTAGTAAGAAGTCCAGCTGCAAGATATACAGCTAGATGTGTGCAGCTTCAGCTAACCTATGCCTAATGAGCAATTTGTTCTGTAATTAATGGACCTGTTGGTGCTTTAGAGATTGAAAAAAATAACGGAGTGATGTGGAGACTCCGTCAGGTATGGAGAGTGATTTGTGCTCCTCTAAGGCCAGGGTGCTGCGTGCACATGCTCTCAAGGTAAAGCAGAGGATGCTGGTTCCCTTGATGCTGGAGGAAAGTGAGAGGAAAAAAATTTAGGAATGAAAACTGAGTTCCTCCCTTCTGAGTAGCAGTGAGGGGTGGAGGAGGCTGGCTGGCTGAAGGTGGAAGGCTGGGCTTACTTCTGCTTTCCAGAGCAGAGCTGTGGTTCAGCTCTGTTTCCTCCTCGTGACCTACATGCTGAAGAGGCATGGCAGATAAAGAGACACAGGCTGCAGTCCTGCCCAGCACCCTGACCAAGATGTTTTTATGGTGAGGTTTGCGTCCTTGGAAGCTCGTGTCTCTAGGGCACGGTGCTGCGAGCCTAGGGACTGTCCCATCCTTCTAGAAGACAGGCTCTCCTTGCAGCTCTCTGTGACTCGTGCTCCCTTCCAAGATCCTTTCAAGGATCTGTTTGTCGTGAACAGTCAGAGAGCAGGACACCAGGAGAGAAGAGAGGGGATGAGGGAGAGGAGAGAGAGCCGGGGACCCTGGAAGGATGGAGAGACAGAAGAGGGAGGGGAAAGAGGAGAGGGAAGAACAGGGAAGGGTGGACATGGGGAGAGGGAGGCAGGAGAGAGAGGAGGGATAGAGAGAAGGCGGGCACAGGAAGAGGGGTGGAGAGAAGGACAGAGAGAGGGAGAGAAGGGAGAGAGGGATGCTGGGAGAGGCACAGAGAGAGATGGAGAAGGAAGAGAGAGAGATGAGAGAAGAGGGAGAGAGAGAAAAGGGGGCATAGGGAGAGGAGATAGAGGGAGAAGAGGTCAAAGAGAGAAGGGGGGACATGGGAGAGAGGAAGAGTAGAGAGAGATGGACAGAAAGTGCAGACTACTGTTCCATCACACTTGACAAGCAGATGGGGATACAGCTAGAAGACACGGTATCCACACTGTTTTTTTGTTGTTGTGATCTTGGAAAATTCTATCAGCTACTGCACCAGGTATGATTTATTCTCCAGGTCCATGGTAAGCAGGCAAATTAGTAAGAGAGGAAGGAAGTTCAGGTTGGATACTAAAAAAATGGACAAAATAAACACTACAAGTAGCCAGGGGGGAGACAGCGAGGCTGTGGAGTCAGCTGTTTAGGGAAGGCTGTGGGATATTCCACTATAGGAATAACTTCAAAACAGATTAGGTGCTAGTCTGCTGGGAATGACCCAGGTGGAGATGGTCCTGCCTGTCTTCCAGCTCAGTTGCTTCATGTTCAGTATGCAGAGACAAAAGAAAGACTGGAAACATTATGACAGGAGGTTCTGCTCTGCTGCTTGTGCATGCTTTTTCTGCACGACATATTTCCATTAGCTGAACCAAATGGGATGGAGTAGGATGGACAAATGGTTAATACCAGCACTGTGCCTTCCCTCTGCACTGCTTAAGAGCATTTCATGCTCTGCCTGGGCAAGCTGAAGACTATCCATTTTTAAAGATGACGCCGTTGGCTTTACTGGGTTTCATTTGCTCAGCCCTGATTTAGCACCCTCATTCTGCCCTAAAGTGAAGGTTCAGGTGTGGTGGTGTCCCTGCTCCCTCCTTGCCAATGTAAGCGGTTGGCAAAATTGCCGGTTAGGCTCTCATTCTGCCTGGATCTTTGAGCCTCTCCCATAACTAAACAGCCCAAATAGTGTTGCTGTGCTAGGGCTACAGAAGCCTGGGTGCTGCCTGTGAAAATTCAGGGAAACTGGGCCCTGTTTAATGCCTAGGCAAGAGCTGTGTTTCATCTCACGTCAGAGCCCTGCTAATCCTAGTCTAAGAGTTACAGACCAGTGCAGCCTCTACACTATCCTGCCAAGCCTGCCAGCTTGTTGTGTTGGCAGCTGCTGTTTCCCTATGTTGTTCCTGGTAGAGAAGCTCTTCTCCAGTAGAAGAGTCTGGATAAGATCTTAAAGATAATCTGTAAGGATCTTGTCTTTCCTTCTTCCAGTGCCTTCATCTTCCTTGTGCTTATTCTGTTGCAGGAAATGGAAATTTTGGATATAACCAGCATCAGAGATACTCGAGCAGGGAGATTTGCCAAAATCCCCAAGGTATGTGTGAGATTTTGTTTCTGCACAAGGGCAAGTCCACCCAGAGCTTTGGCATAAGCCAGGACTCCTCGGTGTACCCTGAAGAAAGACAGTTCCAGACTCTGGTGTCCTTGTCGGAAAGGATATGTCAGAAAGCTGGGAAAACAGCAGAGCTCTTCTGCTGTGCACAGCAGCGGGGTTCTCTTCCCTGACATATGTGGGGCTGAATGTAAAGGCCAGGTCAAGAATAAAGCTGCATGGGAAGTTCTGCTGGAGACTCGTGATGTCTGTACTGAGTCACCAAGGCTTCTCCCTTGTGCAAAGATGCCCGGGCTGGCTCAAGGCAGCTAGAAACCACCCATTTCTAGTGAGATACAAACCCAAAGTGTTTCTTTCTTCCCTTTCAAGGGAAGAATATGTAGTTTCACCAAAAAGCAGTGCTACAATTTTTCTTTTACTTTCAAGTAAATTTGTCTGCTTGCAGGGTAAGAGACTGAAGGGAACTATGTGATTATGGCTTTGATCTTTGGTTTCAGTTATAATGTAAGCTTTCTGGAGCAAAGCTCTTCATGCTACGGCTTTATCCTGTTATTTTAACTTTTTCATATATGACAAAGGCAAGTAGAAAATTGAGGTAAAACTGGATTGGGAAAAGGAAAAGAAAAACAGAAAATGAGGGAGTAAAAATAATGGCTCCATATAATAACATAGGTGGTTCTTAGTCTAATGTAAAAGAGGAAGATTTTGCAATCTATACTGAGAGTCCTGAGCAGCCTCTTTGCGTAAGAAGTATGGCTGTTTTCCTGATAGAACTGTGAAAATGTCTATTCAGAGCTCTCTGAGACTCCTCTTTCAAAAGAATGTATAGTGAGATGGACTAAAAAGGATTAGCAGATGATAACAAATCTCATGCAGTTTTTAAACCCTAGATTTTAGCAATTAGTTAAGGAAGACTTTCAGTGTGAACTGTCAGGAAAAAAGCTTGCACAAGGGCAGAGCTGCCCCTCAATGGAGGGAATTTGCATCTTTCTGTAATGAGCCCTACCCACAAGCAAGGAATTGCTGTGGCCATGAAACTAAATCCTGTTTTCTGATGGTAATTCACAGTACAGCTTGGGGGTGACCACCTTCCTTATCAAAAGACAAACTGGCACCTTGTTGTGTGAGAATAGCTGTTGCATAAAGAAATCCTTTCCACCAAATTGAAAGCAGCCTGTGTTGACAAACTGGCACCTTGTTGTGTGAGAACAGCTGTTGCATAAAGAACAGTTTAAAATCTTTTCCACCAAATTGAAAGCAGCTTGTGTCGTAATCAAGGGCATTTAGAGAAGAGAATAGGAGATCTTTGCATGGAAAAAGTACTGCAAGGGCATTTAGAGAAGAGAATAGGAGTGGAGATCTTTGCATGGAAAAAATACTGCTTGAGGAAAAAAAAAAAAGTAGGTAAGTGGATAAGTAAAAAGATAGGTAAGAGTGAATCAGTCAAGACCCAGAAAGATCTGTGCTTGGGCCTCTGACGGGCAAATATATCTGTGCATGTTCTGCAAAAGCGGTAACTAGTGGCACGACGAAGTTTGCCAATGGACCTGAGATATTGGGGGTAATAAAATGAGGGCTGGTTTGCACACAGGCTGTGCTGCAGGCTGACTGGATGATCACATAGGAGATAAAATGCAGTGCAGAGAAGCATCAAGTGATGCACACAAAGCAAAACGATCATTAAGTTGCTGTAACAACCAGCTCTCGAGCTGACCATTGCTAATTAATAACAAGATTATGGGGAGAGTGTGGAGAAACATGGTAGAGTGCTGTAAAATCCAGAGTCGAATGGAAAAGGTGAATGCAAAACCTTTGCTCAGTGTTTCTTCCAGTGGGAGAACTACTTATCAAGTGGAATTTTCCGGAGCGCAAGCAAAAGGAGGTGCTGTTTCACACGTTGCACCATTGCACTCTGCCTCGCAAGTGCTGAAGACTTGCAGGACTTCAGAAAAATCATAGGTCTGGAAGGAAATGCCACGTGAGGGTTATTAAAAACCAGCTATGCTTCCAGTTTAGGACGTTGCTGAACAACATGTTGCTGGAAGCTGCAGAAATGCGTCAGGGAAGTATCTTGACATTTTCCCTGTCCTTTTACTCTTCCCCAGGCATCTTGATTAATCTTTGGCTGATCTGTAGCTGTTAGATTTTAGCCGTTGTAAAGGCCAGAGCCAGTATTTTATGGTCCTGGGAAGTGCAGTTCGGCTTGTACAAACCAAAAAGAAACAAAGGCCAAAGCGTTAAGTGATTAAGGGGGGAGGAGTGAAAAAGAGTGCGGGTCTTCCCTGTTCAAAAATAATGACTGGGGATGGTTTGGGGCTGTAACTGCTGAAATTTAATAGTTACTTGTTACACTGACCACAAGCAGAGGAAAAGGGCTAACAAATGATATTTAAGACAAAAAGAGCAAGATCTTGCGATAGTATCAAGGGCAAATAAGAGATCCACAACCTCCAAGTGGCAAAACTTGTGATTTCTTTTCCATACTGGATTGTGACTGAAGGAGTCCTCCTGTGACCTCTTCTATGCAGGTTCCCCCTTGGTTTTGTTTTCTTTGAAAGCTGCTCAGGACGTTCTACGTTTTTTTTCTTGAGGGTTTTTTTTTTTTTTTTTTTAAGAGATGGGGCAGGATGAACTTTGGCTCACGTTCAAGCGTAATAAAGATAAGAACTAGCAGGGACTTTGAACATAAATGAGACAAGATAAAAAGCCATTAAATGCAGTTCAGCAGCATGCCAGAGCAGATCAAGATGTTATTTACAATGCAACCATTTGAATAACAAGGAACAGTAACGGCTGCTCCGCTTTGTCTCCTTATAATGCATTAAACCCCCAGAACCCTGGCTCGGGATGTAGAAATTAGATATGGCCCAAAATATGTGATGTTTTAGGTCAGACTGCTGGGCTATTGTCTTGCTCTTTCGTTTCATTTAGACATTTCATTGAGCATTGGCTTCGAAACAAGAATGCTTTTTTTTCATAGAAACTGGTGTTATATTTTCGAGCTAGCCTTCAATATAATGAAACAGTTTCACCCTCCATGCACATTTTGTTATTATTGAACCCAGAGGTTCTGGAGTGAATGTGGACAAGGGAGAAATTCATGGTACACATGATATTTCGAGTAGACAACATATAAACCCGTAGTGTTTGGGAGCTGTTAAGGCAGTGAGCGATCACCTTGCAGTCAAAGTGAAGCACTGAGCTGTAGATTGTAACCTAACTTGGGGCTCCCAGTGGTTCTGCAGCATCGCAGAGGGAAGCAGCAGCTCTGGAGGTCGAGCGTCATCTCAGCGTTGCCCAGTAGATTCAGCAATAGGAGGGAGCACAGTTCCTGCCGTGGGACTAAGGGACTTCCGATATCCAGCCCTCCGGATGAGAGAGGGATCCCAGGAAGCTCTGTGGAACCACAGGGATATATGTGAATGCAAAAGAAAAACAAACTGGTTTTTAAAATAGTGTAGCAGAGGGCGAGCAAGGGAACAGCCACATCTGATGAAATGGCTTTTTGCCACGCGGGGCCTTTTTGCTGCCTCCTCCATCTCCCGCAGTGCGATCCCTTAGACTGGGCGGCCTGACTGCCTCTCCCCCTTGCAGGTGGTTGCTGCTCCATCCCTGCCCACTGCAGGTCCTTTTGTTCCTTGTGAATCTGCCTTTCCCAGTTCCCTTTAGATAAGGAGGCCGTAGGAGCTGAGAACGTTTAATCTGGGCCTTTCTTCTGTCTTAGCTCTGAGCTTCTTGGAACAAATACAAGAAGGCTCCCCCACCTCAAGCATTAATGAGCCCTCAGCAACGGGTCTTGTTTGCATCCCCTGAGGGGACAGCCTATACCAACATGAGCATTACCTGCATGACCAAAGCCATTTAAATAAACTTGGCGCTTCCCTTCCTTTTCCTAAACTCTTTCAGCCCGCAGAAACATCCCCCTCCAGGCAGGAAGCAGCAACCAGAGAGCACTGGACGTATTTGCTCTTTGCTCGCATCTTCTCTCCCTCCTGTTCTTACAGCTTTGATCATAAATTGACTCTTGAGCTTAGGTTTCTTTCCCACGTTTGGGTCTACTGCTGTGCTGCACGTTGCATGGCATAAACAAGAATCTCGGCTTGAAAGAGACTGCTGGGCTGGCCAAGTCCAGTCCTCTCTAATCACAAGCCCTGCCTTGTGTAATTAGTTTCAGGAAGATACAGAAGCACCCTAGGGTAGTAAACACGTGCAACGGCAGCAGGAGCCGGTTATCATTCGATTGCATCGTCTTTCAGGGGAGAAAAGACTGTTCTCTCCGTCTCTTGCATTAGGATTGGTCCTTTGCTTATATTTGCATGAGAATTTGCTTTTCTCGGGATTATGAGTCTGGTTCATACAGATGAGGGCTGTAGGG